TTACGTACGTTACGTACGTTACGTTCGTACTACGTACGTACTACGTACTACTCTACTCTACTACTACTCTCTCTCTCTCTCTCTCTCTCTCTCTCTCTCTCTCTCTCTCTCTCTCTCTCTCTCTCTCTCTCTCTCTCTCTCTCTCTCTCTCTCTCTCTCTCTCTCTCGCGTATGCATGACTAGTTGATTCACAATATTGGAACTGACCTTTCTGCTAATTCCCTTTGTAGCTGAACTGAAGAAGAAAGAGAAAGCAAAGATGCCAACAATCAAATCCATATTTGGTATATGCCCTTTATCTCACGTTATTCCAAAACTCACTGGCTCTTTATTAAATTCTGCTAAAGCTTCCACTCCACACAATGAACTATCTTTATAGTGGAATTAATGATAAAATATGATGATATGATGGGACCTGTCAATCTGAATCCTGATTATTTTGCCTTTTCTTTCAGACCCCAATCCTCCATCTGATCAGCCTGTAAAGGGAAGCTTCATGAGCCTCCTTCCTTCCCATTTTGAAGTCACTGAACACTCCAACAACAAGAGCCATTGACACCATGAATTATGTCTGGTTCGCTTTGCCACTTCTGCAACTCTCTTCAGTCTCTCACTAGATATCTTGCAAGTCAAGGTATCATTTTTTCTGCAAAGTGTCAACTTCTGTGTCGATGTACTTATGGAGAGAGAATGTAACTTCTTCTGCTGATTTCACGCACTGCTAAAAGTAGCTGTGGTGATCTTGGAGAGAGGTTACATGTTTTTTAAGGTGAATTAGTTGCCTTTCAATGGAAGAGAGATAAACCAAGAAGGAAGGAAGAGAGTTTGGTGGTTTGCTTCTCGAAATATTGGTAGTATTCTTTTCCCTTTGAGGATGAGGGGGCTCTGTAAATTGATTGAAGAGAAACAGCAATTCTTTTATTATATTTTGGGAATCTGATTGTTTTTTTTACAGTGCATCATTTCCCACTGGTGTTTTCGAATCCTATATTTTCGTTATTTTTGTTATTTATGAAATAATTTTTATAGGTAATTGTTATTATTCCTTCCCTAGGGTATTCACTGAAGACAGTTGTCTTTTTCCAGTTTTGTAATTTGTAAATAATGAGAAACTGGGTGGAAAGAGCCACTCCCTGAATTGGATTGGACTTCAGCTCTCGCTCTCACACCCTGTCTAATTGGATTTCAGCTCTCTCTCTCTCTCTCTCTCTCTCTCTCTCTCTCTCTCTGTGTGTGTGTAGTACGTACGTACTACTACTACCTACGTACTACTTACTTACGTACTTCGTTCGTTACGTTACCGTACGTTACG